AGCAACCAAAAGGCTGTTCATTCTCATAACAGAATACTGCGAAATTTATTTGAATTAATCCTTATATGTATCACAATTTTATATAAGGGCTAAACCCCAGGAACATGACAAATGACGAACTATATTCTTTTATAGCTTCTTCAAATAACAATATTTCTAGAAATATTTGAAAAGAACATAGAAGTTCTCGCCTTTATTTATTTCATTTCTCAACAATTTTTGTGTTATCGGTTTCAAGTTCGTTATTTGTTATGCCGTTTTCTGGGACATTGGGTTATTGGAGTCTACCAAAAAATCTGGTTACAAGTTTCGTCGCTAGAGGAGGCATAGTGAGTATAAGTCAGTTTTTAATATTCTTCATTTAATGTGTTTTATCATACCGTATTTAAGAAAATTATTTTAAATTAAAATTAAGGTATAATCTGCTTTAAATATTTTACGTCAACTTATTATGATCGATAATTTATTGACGGATCCATGAGTTTGCAACTGAATACGTAAGTTTTTAGAACCACTCTTAAGTATTTGTAATAACTTGTATAAGAAGATACGTTCTGACACAGTGATAGTTCGATTAATTAAATTATATATAAAAAAGTTTCGTTTCACTCGTTTAGCGTTAGCGATTTAAGCCTAAGGTGGGTTACTACTAAAGCCTAGCAGGACTACTAGTTTGTACTAATATATTCTAGAAAGCATATTTATAATTTAGTTATTATTATTACTATTAGTTGAAGTACAACAGAATAATATGAAATAATTGGTAAGTTGGACAGATAATTGACAAATAACCTTTAAAATAAATTTAATTTTAATGGTACTAACCTAGTAATATATTACCATTAATATTAGTAAATGCAAGGTAATGTATTTGGGCTAACTTAATTTCTGTCACACGTTTAATATAATTTGCAAACAGAAACCAGCAGAATGGTTGACAAAAAAGATATTGGCATAGTCTTGTTGCAAAGTAGTTCAGAGGAGAGCTTCTGCTAGGAGGTTGAAGGGTAATTTTAAAGAGATTGGTTTAGTTATTCTATCTTCTCTTGAGAAAAAAGAATTAGAGGTAATCTTATTGAAGGTTGCAAGATTATCTGATAGGTAAGTAGGATAAAGTCACAAATTTCTTTGTGTTATATTTAGAAGACAACAGAATGAGAGGACAAAAGTTAGAGTTAGAAAAGATGAGTTAGACATCAGTTACGACTTGTTTTTTTTTTTCTAATGGAGTTATTGGTTTATGGAATGAGCAGTACTACCAGTAGTGGAAATGTTGAATATATGTCTAAAGAAGTTATAATTTCATTGTATAAGTCATTGGTTATGTCACATTTGGAGAAATTATTTTCATTCTTGGGCTTCTTACCTTAGGAAGGGCATTGGATTGTTGGAAAAGGTTCAGAGGAGAGCTACTAGGATGATACCTGGGATGGGAAGGTTGCCATATGAGGACAAGTTAAGGTCACTGAAATTGTATTCTTTTGAGAAAAATAGAAGTGTTAGAGGGGATCTGATTAAGGTATTTAAGATTCTTAAGGGAATTGATAGTGTTGAAGTATTATCTTTTTTTCTGTAGTTACTGGTGAGAACTGTAGGAGGGGGACAAGTTTTGGTATGGTAAGAGTCATCTTCAGCTAAGACAGATTTATTTTTCTAAAGGATGCTTGACCTTTGGAATGGGTTGCATTCAGATGTAGTGGATGCAGTTAATTTTAAGGAAGTTTAAGGGAAGGCTTGATAAATATTTGAATGATGAGGGCTAGTTTCTGAGTGTTTGATTTTTATTTTAAAATTAAGTTTAATGGGTGGGATGACCTAGATGAACCAACAGGTCCCATGTTGTCCTTAAATTATATATAATGGCATTTTATGAGAATTTAAGTGGAGAATATACTATTTCTTGAAAAAGAAAGGATGAGTCTAAATTTTTACTTTCTCAAACATGGTTGTACAGGAACAACTTTGAAGGACCAAACGATTCATTGTCTGTATGTTACAAAACCTCCCAAGTGTGTTACTGCACAAGTCTCAGTAATGACTCATATTTTAACTAAATAAGACTGCCCAGATCATTTTGAATAAGATTTGATGAAATTCTCCAACATGTACCAGGACATTCAATGATGTAGACATAACAGGAGAATTATGTTATATCAATTAAAATTGTTAGATGAAATATTGCTTAGTGAAAGTGTTTTACCAATAATTTAATTTAAGTATACTTTAATAATATTTCACTTAAGAGAATATTTGAGAAACATGAATTGTATGGTATACATGTGTGCAGAACTGAGCAATAAAACTGGTTTGTTAGTGAAATCAGATCCATCTGAAGCAGATAAAACTACAACAGTGTCTTCTAAACTTTCTACTTTTTTATGTGATATTCATTAGGAAGGACTGATAAGGGGGAAAGTTTCACTAAATTAAAACAACATTGGAGACACAAGTTGCCCTTGGCCCATCATGGTTGTCCCAGTCATTTCATTAAACACCTATCTGCCTATATTCAGCTCTGACTTCCCAAGTGCTTATCAAGTACTCTCTTAAACTTATCCAGTCCTATTGCATTTACCATGTATGAAACCCAGTCTGGAAAATGAAATTGCATAATTTTCACAAAAGTTTTACCCTGCCCAATCTTAAATCTTTGTTCTTTAAGCTTTTTACTCATACCATTAAATGTGCAAAAGATGATGTATTAGTCCTGTCTATGCCCTTTAGAATTTTGAACAATTCATTCCAACAGCTCAGTGTTCTTCTTAAATAATGACTGAATAAACAACCCTAAATAAGAACTAACTAGAGATCTACACAAAGAAATAACCTCTTTTGACTTATACTCAGTATTCCTATAGATACAACTCAAAATCCTGTTGGCTTTCCCACTGGTAACAATATATAGCATAGAAGGCTTCAAAGACTGATTGACCAAAACACCAAGACTCTTTCTTTTTATTATCAGGTAGGTGGTAACACTGCCTATGTATGGGTGGCTCGGATTGTTCAACAAAATGGTATTTAAATATCTCCTCAATAGGTCATCAGAACTTTACAATATTATACAGTGTTTCCTTTTATAACAATACCGGTGTAATGACTGAGTTCTAGGAATGTTTGTAAATATCATAGCAAAAAGTTTGAATTTCTTCCTCTTCTTTTTTCTGTTTCCTTTTATTACATGATAACTCAAAAACCAAAACAATGGTGTCAACCAATTCCACAGTTATTATTATTTATAACTAACAGTAATTAAAAAAAAATCATAATTCTATGTAAACAATATTATCATTTCCCCCATGAAGTTAGCTTTTGTACAGAAATGTGGTGTTCCTATAGAAAAGCTTAATTACAGGAATTACCAGCCAATAATAGATAAACAATAAATAATACAGTTGGAAACTTATTGTATTTAGAACTTGGTTATAAGTATAACCTTCCTATATCTATTGAAACACTGCATTAAAAAACAACAACAAGCAAACAAGTAAAGAAAAATCTTTTCAAAAAAAGGACGTAAACATAGGGATGGCTAATATCAATCCTTTAAAAACAATGTAAACAAGATAGTATGGATGGCATTTGCACCATCCCTATATAATAACACAGGCACAAAGTGTAGTAGAATGTTAACAAAAATAAGATACATTAAACTCAGTTGTGATTGAATGGTGATATATCTTGCTATATGTTAATTCTTGTCTGTGCTATTATTTATGGATGATGCAAATGCCATCCCTACATTTACCTCCTTTTTTTGAAAAATTTTTTTCTTTACTTCTTACACTGTTGAGTTGATTTCCATCAAGGTGGTAATTATAGTTTGAATTAGGTAGCCTAGAATTTACAGCTGGGTGCTTAAATTGATTTATCAGTATAATTGATTACATTGATAGTGTAATATAAAGTAATAGATTAATCAGAAGTATGATTAGATTGATTAATGTCATGAAAATTATCATCTAATCAAAATTAGTGTTATTACTATTTTCAGTTATTCCAACTATCCAAGTCTTGTGAGAATAATCAATAAATAAAATGTAATCAATTAATGGGCCCTATGATTAATCAGTTATCAAATTTCACTAATTGCTCTGTTCAAACACCTGAATAAATTCACCTTCTTCCTTCCTAACCAGTCCTTTTTGTTTGATGCATGCAGTTGCTTGAGCATGCTTAGACACTTGCAGATTAATTCATATTCATTCACACACAACAAAAATGCACTGAGCAGCATAGTAATAGATCTGATGATGATTCTGATGAAGTTCTTGTAGAAAGTAGAGAAAATCAAAATTAAATGAATCTTTTGAATGTAGTAGTGTTATGTAGATTCTTCTGTTTTATAGTTTTGATAAAGTCAGTAACTCTCCTAATGTAATACAAATATTCATAAATGTTTTTCATATTTTTCTGTCATTATGCATCACTTCAAGCATCTGTGTGATTTGCATACTTATTCTTTCATGGTTTTTCCCACCAAAATGCCCACCTAATATATTATGAGGAAGATTTGGTGACTAATCTAAATGACAAAGATGTTAATTAACCTTTGTGTCATTTTTTAGTATGATCAAACTAGCTGAAAAGGAATACAACATTTTGTGTTCCATCCAGGAGCCAATTCCTAAATAAATGAATAGGAAATTACAGTAATTATTAATAAATGAAAAATTTCAAGTTTATAAGAATATGCAACTTACACTTAGACAATTTAATTGGAAGATCCTGAGGGTTTTTTTGGGAAGACTAGAGAACACAAGGTTAAGATACTGTATGTAAGATTCTGGCATGACTTCAGTTAAGGTAGTATTTTTTTCCAATAGGTTAGTTTAGCTCAGGAAATAGTTTGCCTTCACGAGTGATAGAAGCTACAACATTGAATGAGTTTAACAGGAGATTGATGAACATTTTAGAGATTGGGATTAGATATAAGAAAAGGGTTGTTTATGTATACTTTTAAGTAGGGTGATAGAAAATGGAATAGCCTGGATGGCCAAATGGCCCTTGTTATACCTTGGAGAAAAAAAAGTGAGAACTAATGTATTGTTAAGGTTAAGAGAGATTATAAAGGCTTAGTTCATAACATAAAATTATGCTTGAAAGGTTTTTGAGCTTACATGTACATTAACTGCAAAAAAGAGAGCAAAGGATAATAGTGGTCACTTGAAATATTTTAAAGGAAACCCTATTATAGAGGGAAGAAACATGATTGAACTTACTTAAAAAAATAATAGTACCTAATTTATGATAATTGAGATACCCAAGATACCAAATTCTGGGAAAATGGAGACAGTTTTTCATTAAATTATATTTGTTGAAAAGGTTTAGAAAAGCTTGGAGAGTTCAAGTAAGAAAAAACACAAGAATAAGCATGGTAGCATAATACCATTTAGTCCTCTAAAAAGATATAAATCTAAAAAATATATAAAATTTAAAAATATAAATTTTTAACATTCAACTTAAACACAGCTTTTCACATTCATATACCTGTCCAACAGATTTTTAAGTAATTTTAAGTAACTGCACAAACCACATTGCTAGGAAAAACCATATCACAGGTTTATAATTTCTGGAATTTTAAGGTGCACTTAAATCCAACATGTAAGTTACTAGATTACAACAACTGGCTTAAATGAGTCTGGACAACACAAATATTTATCTTAGAAACAAAAATAACACTTATTGTATAGCAGAAATAAACTGTGACATTTTAAAACATCTAAGACTTTAAGTTGGATTCTCTGGGGTATAAGAGCAAGTCAAAAGGTAGGTTTGACTCAAACATCAAAGTTTGATCACCACAATCAATGAGCACAAGAGCAAATTTGAGAGAGAACCAATTTTACTTTGTATATTATTCAACCTTAATTTCTGTCAGAACTTCCCAAAATAATATCGTAAAGAAAGCCATATTACCAGAAAATGGAAATCAGAGTTTTTCATATACCTCTTCTCACACATGATCATCTGCTGCTGAAATCTGTATAGTGAATTATCCAGCAAGCAGGCCAGAAGCAACAGTAGACAAGTCTTGGGCTTAAACCTTCCAACTTGGAAGACATTTAGAAATAAGGACATTATTTATGATTTTATGAACAGTCACACCTCTCACCCTCATTTTCCATAAAACTAGTGATTTTTCCACATAAGAAGTAAAACCACATTTCTTTACCTCAAAAGCATCATTTTGCACTTTTCACTATTGAAACTTGTTTTATGCACATCAAAGTCTTGGACACTTGTTTTAAAGGAATGTCTGCCTCGTATATGGCTCATGTTTCATCTACTTATTATTTTTGTTTATATGAAGCATACTTTTCACTGTATTAGTTTTTAATTTTTCTTGTTGGCAGTTCATCTGGACAAAGGAAAATGCATGGAATCAAAAATCTTTTAATAAGATGCCACATCAGTAGGGGTGTGGTAAAACTTGTTAATTGGACTGTAGGATGGTTTGATGGGAGAAAGAAAGTTTATTTGTGAAGACCAGTCAAGCTGGACTCTTGTTACTAGTCAAGTACCTCAGGTGTCTGTGTGTTTAGGCCTTTGTTCTTTCTTATTTACAAAAGTGGTAAGGTTAGAGGTATAATTAGTAAATTAATAAAGTTCGCTGATGACTTTAAACCCTTGGTTGCTTCCAACTGTATTTAGGATGTTGAGGTACAAAAGAATGATTTAGATAATTGATAAGTTGGACAAATATTTGGTAAAGGAAATGTAATCATATTAAGTGCAAGGTAATGCATTTGGATTATTGTAATTTGAATCATCCATTCAATATTGAGTAGAACCTATTCAATATAGTATGACTGAGGAAAAGGATCTTAGCATAGTGGTGGACAAGTCACTTAAACTATTGAAGCTGTCAAAATAGACAAATCTTAGTACAAATCTCTCTCTATATATAAATATATATATATATGCCTCATTTGGGACCTTGTTATTGACTCGGTGGTTAGTCTGAATGCTTATAACACTAAAAACCAGGTTTCGATACTTGTGGTGGGAACAGCAAACAAATAGCTTATTGTGTAACTTTGTTCTTAAGAATAAACAAAGAAGCCTCATTTGGAATACTGTGTACAGTTTTGGTCTGACTTTTTGGTTGTTTTTTCTTCATGAGCCTCTTTCTGGCCCATTTCCACATTGTTCTCATCTTTCTTGTCCTACTCATCTTTTTTGTGTCTCATTTTCTATGGCCTTAGGTTGTGGCCCTTTTATATTTTTTGAACCCCAATCTCTTGTGTCCTTTCTCTCTGCTTGGAGGTGCTCCTTTTCCTCCACCTTTGTCTTTGTCGTTCTAGCTATCTGTTAATCTTCATCTGTCGTTACCCTACTTTTTAGCTTTATCTCTGCCCTTCACTGAGACTCTTTGTAACAACCCTTACTCTACTCTTTCTATTTTGACCTGGTTTCCTTTTTTTTAGGATATTCTCACTTGGGTTGCTTTCATTTTGGGTATCCTCATCCCTTCCTCATATAACTATGACCCTCATCTCACCCTTTTTCTTACAGATCAGGTCTTTTGGAGTGATCCAGACACCTTGAAATCCCAGCTATGCTAAGGCTGCTAAGGCAAATTTTCATTGTTTCCTTGGTTTCTTGTCTTTCTGTTCCATGGGTACCTCAGTCTGCTACCCATCCTAGAAAGTCATGTTGGGCTAACCTCTCTCTTGTTCCTCATCCAATCTCTTCTGTTCACCATCCCCCATCTTGTTGGGTTGGCAATTTGACCCAATCTTGACAGAATTTAGTGATTTACAGCCTTCTCTGTTGTGGTCACTCAGTCACTCCAGCACAACATGGGGTATTCCACTCCACCCCAGCATGATTTGCATCTCTACACTGATGACTTTTTTCCGGTTTGTGTGTGTGTGTTGGGGTTCTCTACATCTACACTCTTTCTGTGTTCTGGTCTCCAGAGAAGCATTCTCTGGATATCATATTTCATGACAATTGAAAATTATCGAGCTTGCCAACTTCTTCTTAGGTTGCTACTGTCAGGTCATCTCATGTTGATCCATTTGGACAATTTTATGGTCATTTCTTATATCAACTGTAGGGGGGGGGGGGTGCAGGCATGGTTTAATGAAGCACTCCTTATTACTGAAATGATGTTACTTTTAGTTATATGCCTCTGATGGCACCCATGCCATAGAACAGCTTCCACCAATAGCAGCATGGGAAACAGTGTACATGTGAGCACAATACTGGAATTGCTATATGTGTAAATAGGTTTGTTTAAGTCTGTAATAATAATTGCATTTTTATAATTAGGGTACTAAAAATATTTATATACCTGACTTGTATATGTAAGATATTTTTTCACATGCCCTGGTCATGCCAGTTAGTATAACTCATGAACATACAAAGTGCAAACTTTTATCAGAAAATGGTTTTCTTATGAAAAATTAATCCTATAAATAGGAAAAATAAAATTTTAATGGAAAGTAGGGATCATTAGTTATTCATAGAATTGCTATAAGAAGTATTCAAAACAAAATAAATTCTACAATAAAAAGTACACAAACAAGTAAAGTGATACTAGTTGGATAGATTTCAAAACAATTTTCAATCCCTACTTTGATTGGCATTGTGATCCATATACCTAAATGAAGTAGTCTAAATTTGCCAACGAAAGTAGGGATTGAAAATCTTTTAAAATCTAATTCTTTGATTCCAGTAGATGCCTGAAACTTTTTTACTAACACACAATGATACATATTTATTGCAGGAGGTATTCATGGGAGTTTTTAAAATTATTAAATAAAAAGAACAATGAATATTTTCATTCTGAAAGTTGGTTATTTCAGAACTCGCAATGAAAAAAGATGCCCCAAGACGGTATAACAGGGAAACCTCCAAAGAGTAAACGGAAGAAGAATTTGGCTAGATTACGAAGCAACCCGGATTCAGATTTTCAACTGTCGTATACTCGTGGTGATGACAGTGATACAGTATTGCCTAGTAGTTTCAGGTAGGTAGAATATATTACTCTAAGACACTTTTTACAGGTCCCATACATATACATACAAAAATGGTGGGATTGCCCATTTTTAGCAATTATAAGGGGGGGGGGGTCAAGATGCAACAAAGAGCATAATTTTAAGTCCATCATATTTTGTTCAATTTACATGGGATTTGGTACAAAGACACTTTTTTACAGGTCCCATATATACATACAAAAATGGGGAATATGCCCATTTTTAGCAATTATAGAGGGGTCAAGATGCAACAAAGAGCATAATTTTAAGTCCATCATATTTTGTTCAATTTACATGGGATTTGGTACAAAGACACTTTTTTACAGGTCCCATATATACATACAAAAATGTGGGATATGCCCATTTTTTGTTATTTTAGGGGGAGTCAAAAGGCTAAAATAATCCCATAATTTTAAGGGTTTCAATGAATTACTTAGCCATATTTTGACCAATTTATGTGGGATTTAGTATAAAGGTACTCTTTGCAGGTCTAAAAAAGAGATATAGATACTTTTGAAATTTTTGTCTTTTGCTCTATTTTTCAGCAAGGAAAGCACAATTTGGGGTTCTTGTGAACTATTCCTACATATGTCAACCATCTTGCATGGGATTTTTGTGCAAAGATACTATCTGGCAAGTCCCAAGCAGTGATTTAAACAATTTTTGATTTTTTGTTTTTCACAATTTTTTGATGTCAAATGGCCATGTTGGGATTGCATGGTGGAGACATGTTGCATTTGTCTTAGAGAGTCATAAAATTTTCCCTAGTGTACTTCCATACTTCTTCCTTATAATAAACTTTATCTATTCTATTGAGGTAACCAATAACTATACCTCTTTTTACTGCAGGGGTGATGTGAGTAGGAATGCAAAGGGCTTTGGTAGATGGCATGTTAAAAATACCAGTAGTGATTTTCTAATCTTTAACATGACTGTTGTTATATAAAAATAGTAATTGAGAAATGTTACTTCTCTGTACTGCTAAGAGCTATTACCTCATGCACATATACCATGGAACTTCCTACACATGCCACAAGCCTTGAATAGACTCCTACTCCTGCATATGTCTTCATATAGTGTGTCAGTCTATGATGTATTCTTCATTATGCTGTAGCCCTCTACTAATAGGAAGGTGACAAAACCTCAATGCTCAGTAATCCCCATAAGCACTAGCACATGATCATAGGCTTGTTCTTTCCTTAGCACTGCATGTGTTTAAACACATTTTATTCCTGTGAGTTTTGATTGACTGCCTTTCTTTATTTAGTGCAACATTACTTTTATAGTCATTGCATTTTCATTCCATCGACCTGATTGCAATTCGTTTTATCTAGCCCTCATATTTCTTTGTTTTACTTTGCATAACAAAGGCAAAAAAATAAAACATAAAAAAGCCCAGACAATTCTCTTCAGGCATTTTTTCTAATTGAGTCACAACAATCAGAGGCATGTTATCTGTTCATGGAGCTGATGTTCAGTAGTTATCCCTTTAGCTCACTTAGCAGAGCAAACACTTAGCTTGTGATGGGTGTTAGATTTCAATCTATGGTGAGGTACTATATATACTTATTGTAAAAATATTAAATTATCACAATCTTACACAGCTTGTGATGAACCATGGTATGTCCACTGCTAATGTTATTCAAACATATTACCACTATTGTGCTTTAGGTGGTTGGTTTCTTTTTGCCAACTTTATTTCCAGTAAAGGAAACAGAATGAGGGCTTAGTCTTCTGTGGAGCCCGTCACACCAAACATGCTCGCTCTTTCAGCCGTAGGAGTGTTATAATGTGATGGTTAATCCCACTATTCATTGTTAAAAGAGTAGCCCAAGAGTTGGCAATGGGTGTTGATGACTAGCTGCCTTCCCTATTGTCTT